CTTTCATACTGGTATAACTGCGTGCACAGGAGGGTGAGGTTTGCTGTTTCAGCTGTGCTGGCATAGTTAAATGAACAGAGTTTCCTCGTGTAAGTTCTTAGTCTGAAGCACTTGGGCTGTTGTCCAGTGCCTTGTCTTGTCTTAATTAGATTACAAGATCTTTGATCAAGGATTTGGAGTTTAAAGTGCTAGTTCTATATGAGGGATACTTTATTTTCTTGGGGGAGAGGGTTTCAATCCATATCTGGACTGGGACTATGATTTTGTAATGCATGAGTGCACAAAGCTTCTTTTAAAATCCTCTGTGCTGTGCTGAGAGCTGTGAAAGTTGCTCACGCTACAGATAAAATGATCAGAAAGAAAGTGAAGCACGATGGTCACCATTTCAGAAGTCCTTACTGACCAGCAGTGACCTGGACGGTATGTGAGAGTGTATTTCCCTAGCTTTACACTAGACTCCAGAGGTCTGATTACCTTAAAAGCAAGCCATATCCTTGATGAAGGTGTCAGAGCTCACTTGGGAAATACCAGCCAGGGGTAGGTGAAGGACCTGTGCTTAAGCTTTATATATTTGTGGTGTTGTGCTTTTGTTCTTAGAGTTATACCGTGTGTTAGTGAGCACCACCTCGTATCGGCTAGCTGTGAAATACGCAGCACACAAAGAATGAACTTGTAGATGAAATGGTTTCCTTGATTTAATATGCAAAAGAGATCTTTGTCTTTGCTGTGTTTTGTAAATTTATGTGCAAAGGGCTTTGATAATGAAGTGCTGTAATGAAAGTGCTATTTAGAGAGCAATGTGACCCTGTGGGTTGGCCATCTTGCTGTGCATTAAGCTTTATGATAACAGTAATGACGCTGAAGCTGGTACCTAGAGCCCTTACTCCTTATTCTGCCTGAGTATGGGACTAGTAGTGACTTCAGTATTGCTTTGCTGCTGCTACTTTGCTAAGGTTACCTTCTTTAGTAAGGCATTTTTCTTTACTATGGTGATTGAAGTGAACAAAAGCAACCGAAAGGAGTCTGATATGTTGCGAGAGATACTTCAAAAAAGATGGGAAAGCACTTGAGAAGCATCCATATGTTGGAAAGAAATGGTGCAAATCCCTCTTTTTAGTTGCAAAAATCCTTTTGGACTTTTTGGACAGACAAAAGGATAAGCAAAACTGTAATTACAGTTAACCTGTAATTACAGGGTCATAGACATTTCCTTTCCTTTGTTTGCTTCATGTAAATGAGTGATGTAAATTCACCTAGGCTATACTGTAATAAGTGCAGTTTTACTGTGTTTAGATTTTGATCGGTTATAAATCTATAGCTACTATATTTTTTTAATGATTTTAAAATGTGTGTGCAGGATACTCGCACGTATGCACCAAAGGCCCAGTCTTGCCACATTTATCTGAAAAGAGCTCCCATTCAAGTGGATGGGTATTTTATTTGTGTAGGGACTGCAGAAACAGGCCCAGACAAGTCTGCGAAGGTGTACATAGGTGTATAGTTAGATATAAGGAGTGATTTGCAAGCCAGAAAGACTTAAAGAAATGTGTATATAATAATCCTTGAGATGAAATGCATGTTGCAACGTGTTTACTTTCTGATTAATTTTTCAGGTGTGGCTCAAAAAAATGATTGAAAAACTATGGCATTTGTCAGAAATGCCGTATGCAGAAGCTTTCAGATATTTTTTGGCTTCCTTGCCTTGCACTGCACACTGG